CAGGCCAGCGCTGCCTGGAGGACGGAGCTGCACCGTTAGGAACGGAATTAAAACACAGAGCCCGTAGGAAGAGGGCAGAGGGAAAGGCAGGTGACAGGGTGAGAGTGGCTATCAGCAGCTGAAGGTCAATCAACCAGTAACAACACGACAGCAACAAGACCCGTGCCTGAGCCACACGGCGGCTGGAGAGGGAGCTGGGGCGGCGCCTTGAATGAACGCTATCACCTACAACGACGTTACTTAGCCGCGTAAGCCCGGGGTTCTAGGGTTTTACACATACATTTAGATGGTCTTGCCTTTGAGTCTTCCTGATTTTCTCTAATATGGCCAGGTTTTCCTTTTCGATTCCTTCATCTTCTGACTTCTTCCCGCTGACAGGCTCCTCCTCCTTCATCTCGTAGTGATCCAGGTCTTCTATGTCCTACAGACGTTAGAGACGTATGAGTGTGGTCAAGCTTATGCCAAAGTCTCACTATTCCTGACTCGAGAGGGAGCAGAAGAGAGAGAACCCATGTATTCTACGGGAAGGGGTATAAAAGCCTTCACATTCCATTAAAAGGTTCCCTGTCCATAGCTTGTATTTTGTTATAAAACTAGAATCTGAGTAAAGCATATTTAATAACTATTATCAAATAAGCCACCTTTTCAACCTCCTATGAAGGAAGAGATTTGAATAGTTTAGCATCCAGGCCTCCAGAATCCTGTGTTCGTACTTTGTTCTGGTAGCTCCGCTATCTCCATTTTCCAACAGACTCGTTCTCTGTGACCTACACCAGGAGAGTGACCACACCCATCCTCGCCCGACCGAGTCCCTTCTCATGCAGCCCTGTCCGTGCGCAGGCCTCACGGAGCCCTTCCTGGGCTGGCCCCTCCCCCCTGAGCTCCTCCGAACACCGGTCGTCAGATGAGCTGAGTCTCCTCCACCTTCAGCCTCGGCCACAGTCCCAGCCACACGTCTTCTCCACTGAGTGCCCACAGCACAGAACAAACTCACCATCAGCACCTTGTTAAGCAACATCCCAGCCCACTACTCTCCATGCGAAGCCTTCCTATCAACAATCGCTCCAAACAGAAACAGTTTGACTCAAAGCCAAGGCTTTCGGCCACCTGCCCTTTCTAGCCAATCACCTGGCCTTTTCCTGACTCCACGCATCAGTCCGTTTTTCTCCCCCAGAGGAGCATCCAGCGCCCCCACACGCGCCCAGGCCCGGGGCAGTTCGGGGCCTTTAAACACCTTCTCTCCATCGCCTGGATACCTTCTCCTCCTCCACCCTGACCTGACCCTCCACGGCCAGTTCCCCGCTTCCCAGGTTCCCTAGATGTGCTGTCCCTTCTCTACGTCGCCCTGTGAGGGAAGAGGAAGGCACACAAGCTCTTTGAGGACAATGTCTGCCTCACCGCACAGGGCCCAGGGGGTTATGTTCCACCCAGTTAACCTGCATGAAACACTAAGGACAAACTATCACAAAAGTCTCATTCCAATTAGACAAGGTTAAGAATGATCTTCTCTCAGACTCACAAAACAAAACAAGCCCACAACTATGTCTTCAGTCTCAGGCACTCTAAGCAGTCTATTTTAGATTTAAAGTTTTCCAAATCAAGAACATAAGGTAGTAATTCAATTAGTTCTAAGATGCAACACCAAAACAGGTTTTAAAACCAAGACCACGAAACCAAAGACCTTTTTATCCGATCAGTGTAGACACGCAGAGCTTCACTCGGAGTTTGAATTTAAACGCAAAGCTTCAGAGCCGGACACGGCTGACATCGAATCGGTGACGGGCAACTACACCAGCCTCCGCTCAAGGCCTGGCAATCTGCTCTACAAAATTCCCAGATGGTTTTTCAACATGAGGTAGTTTTATTATCTCTAATGAGTAGCCCCTGAAATGCTCTCCAATTCTTTATTCAAACACAGAACTTCTGAAACACAGCCGTTCTCAAAAATAACCAATGACAGCCCTGCCAGTGTGGCTCAGTGGTTGAGCTTCGACCTATGACCCAGGAGGTCGGGGTTCGATTACCAGCCAGGGCACTTGCCCGGGTTGTGGGCTCGATCTCCGTGCAGGAGGCAGTTGACCAATGTCTCTCTCTCATCTATGTTTCTATCTCTCTACTCCTCTCCCTTCCTCTCTCTCTAAAAATCAATAAAAACATTTAAAACAACTACAGGTTAAGTAGTGATTACTATTCAATGTAAACATAATTTTAGTGCTAAATGTTAAGAGTCCTTATTTTCCAGAAAATCAGATCTGAGACATAAGAGAAGCAATTTATTCAAAAGCATACATTAGAGGTAAAGCCAGATTTTATATTCAGTTAAAGCCGTCAATTACATTCAATTCCAAGAACAATGTGCTTTTCCTTATTCCACACCAACACTGGTCCATAAAGAGACTAGAGAAATTGCTAAAACGTCCCCTAACGGAGACACCCACCTCCGCCATCTCCTCCTCGTCCTCCTCTTCCGACGTCACTTCCTCCGTGGTCCCATTCTGCAAGGAAAGAAGAACGTGCCAGGCCATGCAGACCACACACACTGGGCATCCGGGAGGCGTCAGGGCCCGACGGCCACTCTCCGGCACTGACCCCACAGGGAGCTCATTACAGTGAAACATCTACTAAATCCAGCTCTGATGACAAACACTTATCAGCTTTTTAAAAGAAACATTTTTGAACAATTCAAGGTAACAGGTGCATTAGGAATAACACAGGCAATTAATCAAATATAAAGCAGCTCTAAAGAAGTTAAAGACATTCTAACTGAAAATTTAAAAAAAATTTACACTTAATGGCTTCCTTCATTTAAATAATTATCCTAAACCATGAATGAGCTTAAATTCCTCCTACAAGTTGTCAACAGCAAACACTCCCAATCAACCCTCAGTATCTCTCTAAAACATGAATGAGAAAAGAGGAAGGACAAACTATACATGAATGAGCAGCATAGACTAGATGGATACTTGAGAAAAGTCTTCAAAAAGAACAAGACCGAAATAAACTATTTTTCAACCGTAAGTTTAAAGAGACAACTGAGGTGCTAGAGAGGCGAGGACTAGAGTGTCAAAGACGCCTGCACAGAAACTACGGGGAAAGCCCAGGAACAGAACGAACGCCATGAGTGGGAATCATCATCTTAGATGCACGGGTCCCCTTTGGAGAGACCCCGGGAGCCCCAGTCCCAGCCCTCACCCCTCCCCCACCCCCTCCCACAGTCCACTGGGCTCTGACTGGAACCACTAACGTGGTGGACAAGAGGCGGGGCCGGTTCCCAACGTAATCCTCTAAGAGGCCTGGCAGCTCCCACTTCTGTGCTCTTGGGAGACAACACTAAGAATTCTATGACCTTCCTGGAGGAGGGCCGTGGAGAGCAGGGCCCCGAGGCAGCAGGCGTAAGGGAGAAGCCCTCGGGACACCCCCGGGCAGTGTGTCCACAGGGCCCCCGCCCAGCCCGGTCTGACTGCACAGCCAGGCCAGCAGCAGCTCTGTCCAGCGAGGCCACCCCACCCACTTCGAGGAAGGAGTCAATAGTTTTAGGCCATCGAGTCCCGGGGTAGCTGGCTCAGCAGCAGAGAACACCCAAAACAACACTTGACATGATGGCTGACCTCATAACATTTCTAAACGTTGAAAGATAAGAAAATTTTCTAGAATTTGAAATGAAAAGACAAAGAGAGAGGATAGAGACATAGCATCCAAGATACAAAGACTCAAGCAAAGAGGTCTACAGTCCCATGAGCAGGCATTTCCAAACGAACAAAAAAAGAAAGTGGAAGGAGAGGAACCACGGAGGAAAAAACACACATTCACCCACGGAGAAGACACAAGAGTCCGACTTGAACAGGCCCGTCCGTGCTGAGCGCGGGAACAGTGAGAAGATATAACAGCCCGCGGCTGACGCCTCGGAAGAGACAGGCCTCGAGCTCCCGTGGAGACAGGTGAGGTTCAGAGGGCGTTGGGCTCCCAGCACCGCCGGCCGCGCAGCCCACACCCGAGGCCAGTTCTGTCCCACCCAGAACTCCACACTCAGCCAAACCGCCAGTCAAGCCTGAGGGCCGACTAAGAGCCGTTCCCTGACTGGGCATTTCCTGCACACCCCCCGCACCGTGTCGCCTTCGGAGCCCCCACAACACAGGCACCACCTCCACCCCCCATTTTGGGAGGGAAGCTGCTACCACAGTGAGCGGTAAGTCATGCAGCTCATGAGCAGGAGAACCAAGAGCGGAACCGATGTGCGGCCACCTCTGCGAAGGGAGAACTCGGAAGTGTGCCGGCCTTCCGTCCTTCCCGGGGTTGTACCTGAGGGTGCACTCGGGCAAAAAGTGAACGGTGAGCCCAGGGAGGTGGCCCCAGGTCAGCGAACAACAGACCAGCGGGCAGAGCAGACAGAGCAGCTCAAGACGGCAGCTGTACCGCCAGCTCAGAGAGCCGCCCCGAGACGGGGCAGAACCACAGGCTCCGGGGCGAGGGGCTCTCAGACTCCGGAGAGAACACGAGAATTCTCAGCACAGGAAAGACATTCCCACAATCCTAATGGCTCCTAGGACACTGCGTGGAGGAGACACCATCTGGGGGCACCTGCCGGACGGCCGTGCAGGCGAGGGACGCAAGAGCAGGGATGGAACCGGGTCACTAACCACGAGGTGAGTGCGGGCGGGGCCGGTCTGTCTGTCACAGGGAACACCAGCAGCTCCCAAAAGGGAGAAGTGTGGTGCCTCCAGCAAGGCAGACAAAGCACCCAACAGCAGAAACGACCTCCTAACAAGCCGCACAGTGAGGGAAGCGTCCTGTTCCTTCCGCCTGAGGCCGTGATTCCGCTGGCGATGGGATGGGAGGATGGGAGGAGATGGGAGGAGCTTACGTACCTGGCCCGTGGGCAGCGGCTGGTCCAGCAGCTCCACATCCAGGTGCTTGGGAAGGTCGTGCAATCGGCAGAGCTCACAGATCAACCACTTCAGCTGCTGACGAAGCTACAAAACAGGTCAGTGAAGAAGCGTGGGTTAGAGGGCCCTGAAGACACAGCAATGCGACAACTGGAACCCCCCAGCAGGGAGTGAAAGAAGTCAGTGGCTGCCACTTGCAGCCCCGAGAGAATGACGTGGAGGGTGCTGCGGGGCCAGGGTCCGAGTCCCGCGGGCCGCGGGCAGCCCCACAGTGGCCCAGCAGCAGGCGGCCAGCGGAGAGGAAGGGCTGCCGGCACGGTCCACTTTCAGCTGCTCACTTGTCTGAGAACCTGTCACTTCAGACGGGCACATTCATCGTGATTCAGGCCACAAAACAAGGCGGTGGCTGCACAGGGTCCGAGCTGTGCCTTCCCCGGTCACATTCATTTACAGGCAGAGGCACGTGTGGTCACGACAGTCCTGGGCCCTGGTGACAGGGGACACGGCGTCCAACGGCCTTGGCTTGAGCCTCCCGTTGGTGAAATGAAAACCAAACCTCTCACTGGTGACGGTGAAGTGGCATCTTCTGCGGAAACACTCAGCACTCGAGTGTCTAAAACGGCAACAACACGCCTCAGGTCTCCGTGTAACCCGCACCGTTGGTGGGCACACCCCGCAGACAGGAGAGCGCTGTGCACACACCTCCATGTCCGCACGTTTAGCAGCGACAGTTTAAGGGTCGATGCCCCGCAGACATGACCAGGACGAGCCGGGCACCCCCTTCACTCGGTCCGGAGGCTCTCCTGGGTGCGTCTGACCCAGAAGAGAGAGGAGAGGAGGAAGCAGGTTTCTGAAGGACCAGACAGGGTGACACAAAGCACGTGGACCATGGAGCAAGAGTGAGACACGCTGAGCTGGACATCGGGACGAAAAGCCCTCAGGCGTGGAAGGCAGACCCCGTGGATGTGCATCACCCAGTCCATCTGTGGGTGCTTGTGACCGTGACGACGGGGTGGGGTCTGAGAGCCACGGAGTAAGGGGGGCTGGCAGCCTGTGGTGGAGTCTTACCCAGCAAGAAAAACGGGGGTACATGTTGCAGGAATTTCAACTTTATGCTCCCCCAAAAGCGGCTGAGGGATGGGGAAAGCTAAGGCCTTGGGGATAAACTTGGGAAGTTTTAGACGGTAGATGGACAGCCTGAGAGGCTTCCTCGAGAGCTGGGGCGGGAACACTGGGCTCACACCGACTCTAAGCCGGTTCCCAGGCCCCGTCAGGCAGGAGTGATGAGCTTCATCGGTTCATCTCCCCCCACGCACAACCACAGGCAGAATCCCTGGGCGGAGCCTGCCAGGCAGTGGGCCGCCAGGAGGCAGGTGCGCCTCGATTTAGATGTGATGTTGAACAAGGAGGTGCACCAAGTGCGGGTCCCTGGGTCTATAGATACAGACGTGGATGGGCTGGAAGCTCGGGAAATCGTTTTAGCTGCAGATACAGGTGCCTGGAGGCATGACTTAAGGCAGGGGTCCTCAAACTACCGCCCTCGGGCCACATGCAAATACAAATACTGTATTTGTTCCCGTTTTGTTTTTTTACTTCAAAATAAGATATGTGCAGTGTGCATAGGAATTTGTTCATAGTTTTTTTTTAAACTATAGTCTGGCCCTCCAACGGACTGAGGGACAGTGAACTGGCCCCCTGTTTAAAAAGTTTGAGGACCCCTGGCTGAAGGAGTAAGAGACTGCCCAGCGAAGCAACAACACGAGGAGAAGAGGCGGACCGAGGAGACCACGGCAGAGAAAACAGGGACTAGCCCGGGAAGGCAGGGCCCTGCGTAAGTCCTCATCAACGACAGTTCCCCGCGGACAGACCTGCCTGTGTCCTGCACTCATCACTTACTACGGAGCCTCACACAGAAACCAGTTAATTAAAAAACCACACACTTTTCTGTGTCCTATGACTAACAGCTTCCTGTGTCCACCCAGGGAAAGTGTATAGACCAGCAGAGAGACGCATTTCTCACACAACAGCGTCCAGGCCAGGCTACAGACAGTATCGTAGGCCTGGCTTCTTCACGCAGAACGGCTCGGAAAGCTGTGCCCTTGCGAGAAGACGGGCTGCAGGCTTTGTAACTACAACATAACATTCTAGCGTAAACCACACGCAGGCGTGTTCATCTAACCAGGTCTTCCTTGTGGCCACTAAGTCATCAACGCTGAGTGGAGGCGCGTTTCAGTAAGGGAACCACCGACGTCTCATGCTGCAGTCGGGTCAAGTGCAGAAATGGAAAAGGAGCCCTGATTCAGAGACTAAAGGGAAGAATGTTAACGCAACGAGAAGCAGACCCCGCTGTCATGCACGAGGAGAACGGAAGGTGCAGAAAGACAGCGATAGACTGGGTTCTGCGGTGACCAGAATACCTTCACTTCTTTATAAAAGCAGACCCCGTTTTATACCCTCTGTCACTTCATTATATGAGCATTTCTGATGGGATCTCTTAGACACGGAAACATAACCCCATCATTTCTCTGTCACAACACACACACCCTCAGGTCTAGAAAAGGCGGCCGCAGGAGCTGCCCCTGCCCGTCCGGTGGCCCCTGCCTGTCCTGCGGCCCCTGCCCGTCCGGTGGCCCCTGCCCGTCCGGTGGCCCCTGCCCGCCCTGCGGCCCCTGCCCGTCCGGTGGCCACTGCCCGTCCGGTGGCCCCTGCCCGTCCGGTGGCCCCTGCCTGTCCGGTGGCCCCTGCCCGTCCGGTGGCCCCTGCCCGTCCTGCGGCCCCTGCCCGTCCGGTGGCCCCTGCCTGTCCGGTGGCCCCTGCCCGTCCGGTGGCCCCTGCCCGTCCTGCGGCCCCTGCCCGTCCTGAGGCCCCTGCCCGTCCCGCGGCCCCTGCCCGTCCGGTGGCCCCTGCGGCAGGTACGGATGCAGCCTCCTGCTTTAGCCTTTTACCTCCACCCTCAAGCCTCTCCAGACCAGCCTTCACTTCCAAAATCCTTTTCAAACTGATGTTATGTTCTTAATTTTAGGAATAAGCATGTTTAAAGCAAAAGTAACCTATTTTGACAATAATCTAAGACTCTAATTTCCCCAAAATGGTCATTTCTCCCAATACTATTAATAGAATAATCGATCCTTTCCGATTTGAGCGCTTTAACTCAGTTCCACTTATTCTAAATTCTCAATGACCTGACTCCTTCTAAATTCCCACTGCCTTTATCCATCCAGCCCAGTGTCAGTACATAGTATTTTATGTAAGACCAAGTTGAACAAGTCTCATTTCATTACTTTTTCTTTAACTTCATTATTATTTTTACTCTTCAAAACAGACTTTAGATTCATTTTGTCAAGTTCCAAAAATAAGCCTGTTTGATTTTTTTTTACTGGAATTGTATTCAATTTATAAATTAACATGAAGCTATGGAGATAATTAACATGTTTATAATATGAAGTCTGCCCATCTGGGAACATACCACCTTTCATTCCACTCAGCAAATTATTATAGTTTTCTTGATACATCTAAGTTTATTCCTAGGTAGTTCATTTTTTTAATAATTTAATTGTAATTGTCAACAAAATACTTTTCTACTGTCTTTTCTAAGTGATTAAAGCTGATATTTGGGGGAACCACTGATTTTCATATAACAGCACTTTTAACCAGTCACCTCAAAACTGTCTTCTCAGTTGGTTCCTTTGGATTTTCAGGTAAATAATCATGTCACCTGTAAAGAATGACTGATATTTTCTATAAGGACTTTATAACATCATGGGAAAATAGAGTAATAATATTAACTTTAAAAAATGATATAAACTATGTAGAATATGACCTCCACTATTTAAACATATGTATGAGTATATGTATTTTACTACGAGGGAGAAAAACTGAAAGGAAAAAAAACACACCATGTCAACAATGGTTATAGCAGGCAGAGAAACTACGGGAGATTTTTATGTTCCCCTTAACTTTTACTAGTTCTCTCACAAATGTTACTCATCAGTTTTATAAAAAAGGAAAATAGGTTTTAATTTCTTTGTGAAATGGAAAGTTGCATTTCTCTCTACGTAAAACACTTTTCATTTGTATCCCTCTGGATTTACTGCAGTTATAGACTCGACAGAAAAAGCAGTTCCCTAATGTTCACGAAGAAAAAGAGAAAGGAGCAGGGCTTATTTTCTTACCGAACTGTTGTTCTTAGAATCTTCTAGACGTTCCAGAACTGAGGTCAGGTTTGGGTCATCAGAGTCCACGAACCATATTGGGGAAGAAGCCGGGTACGACTCCTGTAACAGAGACACCCAGTTACACACATAACAGACCGACCTGGACATGCAACTCGGCCAGACCACTCAATGGTCAGGTGACCACAGATTTCAGTGATGAAATATACCCGGGGAAGCCCAGTCAGGGCACAAGCCGGGGTTTCGGGCTCAGTCCCCAGTGGTGGTGGGGGCGGGGGGGAGGAGGGGGGGTGCATGCAGGAGGCAGCCAATCAATGATTCTCTCATCATTGTTTTTAACTCTCTCTCCCTTTTCCTTCCTCTCTGAAATCAATCAATTAAATATATATATATATGGAAGAAAAGCAATATATTAAAATCCATGTGTGGAAAAACAAATTTCTTTTAATGGATTTTTAATTAATTTTTTTATTCTTCTGGAGACCAGTTATGGGACCGTTACTGTCACACTTTGCTGTCCAATCAGTGTGGCGTGGAGAATGAAATAAACTCACAGAACCATACAGAACCTTCATAAAATTCCAAATGCTTTGACAACATAAAAAGAAAGTTACAAGAAGACAGGAAGGAATTGCTCCCTGCTCATCATTTTGCAGGTAAACAGCTGAGTATCTACATGGCCGGAGCCCACAGACGCAGTGACACCAACAGAAGTGAAAACTCCCCTGCGATGGGGGATGTGTAAGTGCTCCGAGAGCACGTGTGGCCGAGTCAGAGCATTCTAGAACATTCCACGCGAGGCACGAAGGCTGGGGGGCCCACCCGGATGCTCAGGACCCACGGCTCCCCGGCGCAGCCTCCCGTCCTCCAGGACTCCGAGGGGACGGCGCGGACCCCGCGCCCACAGCCTTGGGAGGGGCCGCGTCACTCTGGCTCAGGCGATGCCTTACCTTCGGGGTGGGGTCCCCACTCACCTCCCCAGCCCTCGACCAGCTGACCCTTGCCTCACACCGTCCTTCCCCAGGTCTAAGGAAGCTTAACAAGGTCACGTTGCTAAGGGACACGCCAATCACCACACGGACACCTAAGTCTCCTCTTCGTGGACCTGTTCCTTCCGAGGAGGGGCATGGGGGGAGGCGGGGGGAGAACTAGGAACCCGACTCCACGTTACAAACTGGTCCGATGCGTGAACACCAGGACTCCTCGGCCTGAAGGACACCCGGCTGCCGTCATTCCCAGCATTTCTCCGCGTTTCCTTTAGAAAGGTGACCGGCCCAGGAGGGCGGCCCGAGACAAGGCCGTGGCTCCTGGTCAGGTTTCCTTCATTTGTCCTCTGTGTGACCTGCCTGGGCTACTCCTATCGGTGTCAGACTAGAAACACACAAAACTGACAGCCCCGATTTAGTTCCATGAAAAATCACTGTAAAGCGTTTTCAAAATGCAGTGCTCGCCAGCCACCGAGGACAGAACAGTCATCACATCACACAGAGCTTTCCTACGTGTGCTCTCACGGGGGCAGAAAAGTGATCCATTTCATAGAAAAACCAGGCCCCTCTGCTCAAGGTCCCAGCTACTGAGA